TCAGTACTTCCACTTTTACCAGAGTATTTTTTAACACAAGTATCTGTACTTTTACTCAAGTACGGAAAGTGAGTACTTTTGCCATCTCTGCCTATTGTGCAGGGTTCCAAAGTTCAAATTTGATTGCGCTAGTAGATATAATTTTTGAGGTATGTACTGTGACGGAATTGTACCTGATTTAGTATCATTTTTTGGGATGGAATTATGATGATGCAATGCTCCTTCAGCTGAGGATCCTTCAGTTGAAAAAAACTAAGTGGGGGCACATTTCAGTGTATTCAGATACGTTTTAGTACTTTGTGATTAATGTTGTTAATTGAAAAAGTTTTTGAGGCTGCCACATTTTTACAGCAGATCAATCCACAGCGTGGATTTCCAGACACTCTTATGCACCATGCATTGTTTTAACATCCTGAGTTTGGCCTAAAACATTTTGCCCCAGGTTTCTTTTTGAGTGTAGACACATTATATATGAAGCCCCTGGTTTCTTAATCTTTGCAGCTCCTACAAAGCTATGGTACAGTACCAAAACATTGTACTGTGGGATGTCCTGTGTGGTATAGTTTTATAGCTGGTCTTACATTAAACCTATCCATTTCTTTATATCTGCCCTGGCTCATTCATGTGGTTTTGCCTTTCATGATACTTTATCATTATTCATTCAAACTTCTGAGGCCTTCAAAAAAGATATTTAGGTTGTCGGTCTTCTATTTAATCATTTTGTCTCTATCAGGCCACAATTATGATTTGAATTTTGTATTATTGTCCAGCTCTGTTATCATTTACTACTTTTGTGTTTGTCTATTACAACATCCTACAACATTAAAGCTGATGTTTACAATAAGAAAAAAGTTAAAAAGTTCAAGGATAGTTTTGTATGATACTGTAAAGGTATTGACCATATGTTTAGCTAAAGAAAGAACAGTTTGAATAGAACAACTAACTTTCACTCATTTCACACTTCATGAGTTTTCTTAAGCTGCAAAAAGAAAAGGAACCCTTTGTCACAGGGGATTCTGAAGACGGCAAGCCTTGTGAATGGTGAAATTTTATTCTAGTTGCTCTACAGAGAGAGAAAGAGAAAGGGAGAGATAGAAAGAGAGATAACAGTGCCACTGTACAGAAGAGCTCTTGTGAAATTCACACAAAAAAATATTATTTTTACTCTTTATAATTCTCCATGATAATGTATTTCAGTATGAATTTACAAGCGATTTTTACAGATGTAATTTCTAAATATATTCAAAATAGTTCCTTAAAAGTCTTTTAGGAAGTATTAGTTTTTATCTTTTTCTTCTTTTTCTTTCTTTTTTTTAATTTTTTTAGAAAAAAGCTAATTTATTACAGCAAACAATAAAGAATGAGGTCTTGTATCTTTGGAGGGATAGCAGACTCAAAGCTGACCGTAGGTTTTTTTTCCCTTCTTCATCTTCTTTAGAGTTGAAGTCCTGACACACATGAAGGAGATGTAAGAGAGAAGCAGAGCTGGTGATACAGTATTTTTCACCTGCCATCAGAGGAAAAGGGAGGATGTCCCTCCACCCCAAGCAAAGTCTGACCCCCACCCCTAGCCCTTCCCAATGCAACCTGCTACAACACTGGACAAAACATGGATTGATAACAACCAGTCCACCAGCATAAGTCAACAAAAAGGAGGGGGGGTCAGTTATTTGCCTTCTCCCTCAAAACAGCAGCATTTTCATTGTGTTAAACACAGATATATATTTTTTCTCTCAATATGTATATACTCACATCTGGTTACAACATATTAGTGATCATAACATCATAAACAAAATGAACAAAAAAAGAACAAACAAAAACAAACTTATTACATCTGGGGTTGCATGCTATCACCTCATTTTTTATAATTAAATGTAATTAAAATACATTTTTGCCATTTAAAAAGAGCAGAGTTGTCATCACAAGGGTGGGTTTTTGGGTGCATGTTTTAACAAAAGTCAGCATCTGTTTACATGATGGTTGTGTAAAAGTTGAACAAATTGAAAGAACTGTTGTGAATTCATGAAACAAAATGCTGCCTTGTTGATATTTTCAATGTGCATATTGTTCACTTGACAGCTCACACAGGCAGCATGTGGAGATAAATATGATTATAACCATAATGAATGTGCATGTAAATGCAAAAAAAAAAAACTGGAAAAAAAGGGTTTAAGTTAACATAAGGGAGGCGTATTAGGAAAATGAGAGGTTCACCATAGTATCTCACAAACAGTGTTATGACAGATATCATTAAAAAGTAGCAAGGATGGAGCTTTTGTTGAAACACAGTGGCAAATGCAGTCAAGTAGAGAGGAGGGACAACTCCTTTATACCGTATAGGGGTAGCTTTTCAGAATTAATTCTGTGAATGGTGCAGTGTTTGGCAAAAAAAGGTAGAGCCAAGAACCTCTTAAACCCCTTCCTCAATTCCTTTCTTACCCTCCTCTTCTTTCCTTCTCTCTAATTGCATGGGCTCCAACATAGAGCGACACTGGAAGACTTTGGACTTGTATAGTAAACAGGAAAAAAGTTGAAATCTGTGTTGTGGCCACAATAAATTGTAGCATATTGTAACTTTTTATTCCTCATATATATATATGTGTTTTTTTTTTTTTTCTTATTTTTTTACAAAAACCTGTGGCACATTTTGCTCTGTTGCTACTACTCCTCCAAAATGCACAGAATCATCCTGAGGTATTTTCATTTAGATACAATTTGGCTTAGTGGATCCAATCAATTAAGCAAATAATTGAACAAAGATAAGACGTTTTTTTTAAGTGTGCAATTTTTACAGTTTTTTTTTTTTTGCTACAAAACATTTGGCACAAGTGAAAAGAAAACTATATGCACATACATATTTTTCAGCAAATATCAAAATATATCAATAAACAAATAATCAGATTAATGCCCCCGGCCCCCTCAAAACAAAAGCAAAGAAAATATTCTAAAAAATAATTGATTATCATTTCAAACGTGCCCAAGATCTAGCATGCATGGCTACTTAATCCCCAGAGAGGGATATGTGATGGATGAGTATATAATGTTGGACTCTTTTTAGCTCCAACAACCCTGGCCCACACCCCACCCAAACAATGCTGGAAAGGAAAACAAGGAATCCATCTCAAGAAATCTTTTCCCTCAGGTCCCCTCTACCGAGAGTCTACAATGGATGAAGAGCCCACAATTTGAGAACAATCTTCTTTAAAACTACAGTCTTTAAAGGGCAAATATAATCATATTTTTAAGCTATAATTCTATATTATTTTATAAAATATAACTTAGCATGCTCGCATGGGTTCTCTCTGGATACTCTGTCTTCTTCAGTCCCAAAACATAAATATTTCGTTCACTCAGGTATGTCTAAGATTGGTTATTAAGGGATTTTCGATGTGCTCGGCTTCAGCCAGTGGCGTACAAACTTACATTAAATTAATTCCTCTCTATTTATCTCTACTTTCATAGAAAACTCCTAGATGACTTGCACAGACACACTACTTTTTGCTCTACCACATAGAGCAAAGTTTTGAAAAGAACATACATTAATTAACAATTAAAAATCTTTGAGAACTTTCCACTTGAGAGTATCACTGCTGCCACCCTTTGTTTTGGAGAAGAACTACTTCTTAATGGAATCTCCTAGTAGGGGCATGGAATCTTCTGGTGGGGAGGCCACAGGGGTGGCCAATGATTGGTTAATGGTGGCCATGGCTATCCCAGGACCCCCATTTAGTTCTGACCCTGGCTTCAGCACAGCTGATTCTGATGTCAAATCCTGTTAATCAGCAGTCAACTGTGCTGAAGCAGGGAATTTCTAAAACTTGCAGGACAGGGGCCCCCCACAACCAACTTTGGACATGCCTAGGTTAATTTCTTTCTCTTATTTTTTTCAGGTATGAGTATTTGACTGCATGGTTTATGTCATGAGTGTCTCTGAGTTTCACTGTGATGGTCTGACCACCTGTCCAGGGTTTGCACCTATTGGCCACAAATAAAAAATATGGAGCAAACACTTTTCCTGCTCACGAGATTGTGCCCCTCTTTGAAAACATTCTTTGCTGAAAATTATGAAACAAAACCAAGATTAATCTCTTTTGCAGCGTTTTTTTACCTATATCCGTACAACACATCTGTTGATGTTGACAGATTACATTAAATTAACACCAATTCTTAGTTAACTTAATTGCTTATCCTAACTGCTTTATTAAATCTACAATTAATTGTTTTCCTTACTGAGGCAAGTTAATACGTGAATGCTTGACTTTAGCTTCTGTCTTTTTATCAATATGTAAACCTCCTTACAATTCACCACCTGTGCAGCATTAGCTTGAATGACACTTTGGGATAAAAACATACTAATATTGATGTAAAGAAAGTACTTTAAAACAGACTTAATGAGTTTGAGTAGTCTAACAGACAGAGCTCTCAAAGAAGTGATTTGAACAATGCTTTTGTGTTGTGTATTTAAAACCTACAGAGTAAAATACAGACTACCTATATCTTGGAAAAGAAGCAATGGGAAGACAAAAAAAAACAAAAAAAAAAAACTGTATCCACTACTAAGAATCATGCCAATGAACAGATCAACATTTTTGGTTAGGGCTAAACCACCTATAACTAAACCCTCCAAATGAACTTTGCAGAAAATAAATATTTCTCCTCACCAGGAAAATTAACCCTTTTTATTTTAGCCTTATATTGTTTAAATTATGATTATGGGAATGACTGTAATTATAATGAGCTACAAAGCTGAAACAAATAAAGTAAAAAAAGAAAGGTTATAAAAAGGATTATATATGCCCTTTAAATACTGATACTGTAAATCCTAATTAAGAGAGAATAAATGAGAATAGATGTAACTTTATTTAAAAAAAGTAAGATATATATGAAGGGGAAAGGAAGATATCAGTTATGTTTTTCTTTTTTCAAGCTAAATACCCTGTTTTTCAGTGGCAGAGATGTCAAAAACAAAATTTGACATATGCTCAGCCTGGATGAGGTGATGGTGGGCACAGTTTTTATCTTTTCCCTCCATTATATTATCTTTATTCCCTTCCAACATTATTGTTACAGGTTAACTATGTGTTAAGGTCAGAGATCTAAGTTTATTTTGTAAAATAGCAATCCATCCATCTCTAGCCTTTCCTTTTTCAGAAACATGATAAATATGTCTATTTGTGAGCATTTTTTCTTCTCTTCAAGGACAAAAAAATAAACACATGCAAAATAACCTAATACTCCTGATGATTTTTTTTACTAGGAAGCTATGCCTTTTTTAAAATACAAATGTGGGAGAGTTTCTTTTCAAACTAATTGCTATTGTGCTACCAAATAAGCAAACACTAAAATTCTACATAGATTTTTAAATATCATAGCTGAATAGAATAAAAAAGTAAGACTTTTTAATTATTTTATATGTGCAGTGCCAGAAATGAAATCCCCTCAACTGTCCCTTGTTGTCTGTTCTTTACGAAAGTCATTTTCTTTGTAAACAGTATTCACTGATAGCACCTCCATTGTTCTCATCTTTTCATCACCGTACTGTTGTTGACATGATTTTTAAAATAGAAAACCAGTCTAACTAAACCTGCAATCACTAACTACCGGAAATTGCGAGTTGTTCCAGTTTTTCTACTTATTTTCTCACCCTTTTTGTCCTCACCTTCATTGTCAGGTGTCATTGCGGTACATTTTGTAAGCCTAACAAGCAGCACACTGTTAGATTATCTCACTTTGACACCCCTGTTCTTCCAAAATGCTTACATAGTGAGTTTCATCAGTGAAGGTGGAAGTGAAAAAATGTGAAAAGGATAACATTAAATGCATTAGCTCCTTTATCACTTTTTCCTAATCAATCTTCAAAGATTACTGCCAAAACCAATGGCTGTAAATTTTTAGCACATATCAACAAACTTTTCGTATAATACTAAAGCAGCTTTTCTTCTGTAAAGAATCCTTAATATGTCAGTTCTATAAATAGCATTATTTTTGTTTACTTCCTCCTGTTTTTAACTTTAAAGAATAGTGCTGGACAAAAACTGATTGGTACATGAGAGAATGGACAAATATGGTAGAAATAGATTAATAACAATACAAGTAGTCCCAAGTGGGCCAGAAGTTCCTTTTTTGATTAGAATGTAAAAGAGAAGAAAAATGGTCAAGTTGCTATGACATCCCTTAGTGGATAACATAGTTGATAAATTATAATACAAATCCAAAGAGGACTTAGAGGGAGAGAAAACATTTCTTCTATCCACTAAACATCTGATTCCAGACTGGGAATTTTCTTATACACCCGCCTATTGCTGAACTGGGCTGAGTTTAGGACACCCCTTGAGGCTGGGTATGCACTAGTCTTATTGTCTGAGTAAGGCATCACATGCTCTTTATTATACATGTCATTAGTTATCCGTCCATCCCTTGAGCAGTATGAAGAAGTGGATTTAATGGAAGAACGAAGATTGTTCGCATCATTGCGTGTTTTGATAGGAGCTGATCCTAGTGCCAATGCAGGAGAACCTACTGCCAGCTGTTTGTAAATGTCAGAGGAACTACGCCCATGGACCAGTCTGCTGCTGGTGTCATCCCTCAGTGAGTGACTGAGGAAAGGGTTTTCAGAGCCATGGGTTGGGTAGAGGGATTTGCTCCTCTTACTTTCCTCAAGGTTATTGTTAAACAGCATTGGTTTAGACCCACTGCTAAAGAGTCTGCCAGAGTAAGGGCGCATCCCGAATAGATTGGCATACTGGGAGTCAGATGCAGAGTCCAAGAATCGATCTTTTTCTTTCAGGCTGACGCTGCGTGCTGGTCGGCCCGGGTCTGCATCCTTGGGTTTTTCAAGCATGATGTTATCAAATGAGTGCTGACGACTTAGCCTCAAGCGGTTTCTTTTTTGGACATGTGGCCCATCTGTCTGGGGCCAATACAGGCCAAACATTTCATCTGGCTGCTGCTGCTCCTGGTGATGAAGGGTGGGGCTAAGCAAGGGATCACCAAGTAGCTGGTCCTCACTAATGTCATACAAGTTAGCTGTGTGAAGGCATGCATCACAACGATTGTATGGAGATCTTGTTCCAGATGCTGTAGCAGATGCTGCCGAGACATATGACCCTCCTTGTGGGTAGCTAGCAGGTACTTTGGACAAGCAAGAACGGCAGTGTGTCTGTTTGTAGCGATCAATAGATTCGTGAGGGGAAAGGGAAAGATTTTTCTCTTTTAGGCTGTAAGATTTAGAGTAAGCTGAGTCTGGGAGAAGGTCTGAGTCCGTGTGATGCATAGGTGAGGAGTTCAGATGAATGATTGGCTGCTCACACTTTCTGAAGTTATCACTGTGGTCAGAATATATTTCAGGGTAATCCAAATCATCTGCTGCAAGACCATGGCTTTCACGGTAGCGAACAGAGTCTGAATGGAGGCTCACCTCTCTGTCTGAATCAATTGTGTAGATTTTCTCTCCCCCTCCTCTCCCACTTTGGTTGGTTCCACTGCTGACCTGCTTAGTCTTTAAGTAGGACAGCTCCACCTCACTGCAATCCCTAGGGTATTTTGACGTCACGGATCTTTTTTTTAAGTTGTCCTTGGGTTTCAGATGCTTGTTGTTTTCTGGGTCCTTGTAGGTTGCTCCCCTGCTTGAACAGTCTGAGATGTCAGAATGGGCAGTGTCTTCTGGGAGGTAGCGCTGTGTCTTCATAGATATTCGTGGATCTGGCATTAGCATGTCAGGCATTGGAGATGGTCCCGGTGGCATGGAACGCAATGTGTCAGTTGACTTTTTCCACAATGTTCGCTGAGGTTTGGCATTTGTTTGGACGGTGTCAGCACTCACAGCTACCTCTACAGTATTTGGATTTGCATCATTCAGAGTCAGGGGATGCTGCCCACCCTGAAAGATGTAATTATTGAGGTGGTCTTTGTGGCGATTTGCAAGATAAGACTGAAGGTCACCAGTGTCCCCATAGATCATATCTTTGGGAGCATAGCTTCTGTTGTCAGCATAAATGAAGTTGCCTTTCTCTGCCATCATGTCCATGATCATAGGACCAGCTGAGTGCATGAATTCTCGTTTAGGCGAGTTCATGTGGGAGCCACTGAGGTTAGACATGTTGGTCATCTGTTTTGCAGACTTAATGAGTTTAAGCATTTTGTCCTGGGGGCTGAAGTCAAGGTCTGTCTTTTTCTTCATATCGATGTGTACTCCATGGATGCAGCTCCAGATTCCCTGTATGAAAAACACATTAATAAACAAAGAAGGTAATAAATAATGAAAAATGAAAAAAGAGGATATAAAAGGACTAACATACTTTATATTTTAAATTGATCTAATCTTCCAAAATACTGAAAGGTATATACAACATCATTAGACTAATAGATTGGCAGAATTGCAAGAATATATAGAATAACAGCATTGTCTAATAACGTTTTAAATGGGAATCGGCTGTTCTCACAAAAAACAATTTCACTTCAGTGCATAGTTGAAACATTATAATTTTCTTTAAAAAAGGTTTTCTCCATCTCGTCTTTAGAGTGTACTCCTGAAAAAACACTGGTGAAAAATGAAATCCCTTATTACATATTTCTAGTTTAGCAATACATTTAGATCTCCCTGGTCTGTAGTGATACATTTGCAAAATAACAGAAGTCTTAAATGCACACAGTATATATATCACAATAACTAAACTCTTCAAACAATTTAATTGGTGTAAGATGAGCATGTTGTGTTTATGAGGAATCTAGCATGCTAGCAGTAAGTGTCCCATCATTTAGCTCATACGGTATGATACCACTAACCAAATAAAACATAATTAAAGGTGAAGTAAGCATGTTAGATAAATAAAATTGTGCAAACTCATTGTGCCAAACACACAATGTTAAATCATCAATATTATATTTAACATCTGAATAATTTTGTGCATTTGATACAATTATGAAGCAATGTCATCCAGTTTAAAGAAACTTGAAAAAATAAAACTAATTAATCATGTCATTTATTTTCAAATTTGATCTTTCAAAATGAAAAATACATGTTTATGACTCTTTACCTATTAAGAAGTTCAACTTTGTGTGCTTATATGTAAGCATTTAGTGCTACAGGTAATCCAAACTAAAACATCTTACTGACAACAGCAGGTATTTTACTCTTTTCTTTTATACTGCTGTTATGACTCCAAATTAGCAAATTACAAAAAGTTCGATTGTAATCAAACAAAATAGCTTAAAAACATCAATAGTATGTGATATTACCCATGACACACTTATTGTTACATCTTTTGTTTTTACAAAACTGCTGAATTTCAGAGATGAAAATATACTAATAATCCATTTACACCAGTAACTGTTCTTTCACTTATTCCACAATAATCTTTAAATTTAAATTGTTTTTATATTTTATATCCTTGATCTGCCTTAGATGTACTCTAGTACTGGCTAATCCAGACAAAATAAACACCACGTTCTGAGTAATAGTTAATATACTTTCCTTTGACCTTTGTGGTTAAAGGGAATTAGGCTGTATGCAAGAGGAACCTTTGTATATAAAAAAATGAACAATGTGTCTATTTTTCACCGTCACACACTAGAAATACTACTTTTCAAAACTTTAGGAGTGTTGTGCTTCCTAATGTTTTTTTTTCCAAGCCTATTTGTACAATACAGGCCAAACATACTGTAGTAGATTATAATCTAAACAATCCTCTAAAAGGTTAGGAAAAAACAACTACTTTGCAAATATCTATTTATCTTTCCTTAAAGTTTGATCTCTTTTTATTATATAATACTGTGTTAATATTCCCATCTAGATTAACACTGCTGTAAACACAACATAAAGACACTGCAGTGCTTTTAGAGATGCATGTGCATGTCTTCTGTTCTCGCACACAATGAGGAAAAATGCTGACCTTTTAGGAGAAAATAGGATAGATTGATTAAATGTGGGTTGCTGTGGTTTCATCCAAAAAAACAAGCCACAATTAGGGTCTATTTTTGTCGATAGTCAGGGCTGCCTCGTGATTCCCCCTCCCACCTCCTTCCCCATCCTTGCATCTTCTGCAAAACCCTCCCTTCTTTTTCTCTTTTTAAGTTAATATCTTAGTTTTGCTGTTCTTTTTCTGTGGGAGAAAAATAAGACAGAGGTATTTGACCTAAACACTGCAGCATTAGCCTACGACACATCTGGAATGTTTCATTTTATCTTGTTCTGTGATCATTAAGACAACTCTTGCACCATTTTTTGAAATTCACTATTTTTACATGATATTAAACACCATGTATACAGAATCCTTACCCTGCTGATGGAGAACAGAAGCCCTGGTGTGCCAGAGCAGACTCCGGTGAAGCAGTATCTCAACCTCCAGTAGAAGAGATGCTCCGAGACAAATGTGATGAGTGAGAGCCCCATTGCGGTGGCCAGCATGTAGAAGACCCCCGCCATGTTGTCTACATCAAGCTGGCTTGACATGACCTCGTTCTTCTCATTGTGACAAATTCCTGTCAGCCACTGGGCTTCTAGTTCTTCCATTTCACCTAAAAAACAAATGCATTGAAGTAAAACCATCCTATGGCTTCCAAAAGTTCGCTAGATCATTCAAACATCACAGGATTTAGACAACCATAAAGGAACTCATTCCGGCACAACTGCGTTTTTAGTACTTGGCAAAAAGGTTTTTCACTGCTCCTTTCCCCACCGCCTTACCACAAAAATATGAACACTGGCATCAAATCTGCACAAAGATTTTTCCTTACAATCTGCAGGTTTTTCCTATAGGCTTCTGCGCCTACATCATCAGTTTCAGCCTTCCTGTGGAGGAGCAAACATCATCAGGACTTTAAACAGCTTTTTAGCATCATAAACGGGGTGGGTGGTGGTATGTAAAGAGGTCTAAACATCACCAGTAAGGTTATCCTGCAAAAAAAATTCATATGAAAAATCTGAGACCTGTACAAATACTTGAGCCAGCAGTTAAACAGATCATGGATACTATAATTGAAAATGAATCACTGTAAACTGATAAATTAAAGAGAGTAAAACATGAAGTAAATTTTAGATTTGGGGGTTGGGATTGTAAGGTGGAATGTGGCCGAAAATTACTTACAATATATCTTGCTGCAGGTTGTGATATATCTTGGTTATATCAGGTAGGTCTTATCCAGCTTTTATTTGCTAGCCGTAGTGTGAGCTCTACTAAACCCATAGAATAATCCAGTAAGAGACCCTTTTGCATGCTACCATGCAGGCCCAACCCCTCACCTTGGGGGTAGGAATGGGAACTTCTGAATTCTACTGATACTGTTGCAGTAGAACTGCTGAGTCTCTCCTTGACTCCCTGCATGCTGTCTCACAGTCACGGAAAGAGCTGCCGTGAGTCCTGTTCCTTATTCCCTGAAAGCTGTCTCACAAGCACAGGCAGCTGCCTCATCATGAAAGTCCCACATGCAGTCAGAGCAAAGAAATAGAGATGATACCTTTCCCTTTGAAAATATACAACACATGTGCAAAGCTGCCCATTATTCCACCATGGATTACAAAGCGGGATAAAAAATATAATGAACTGTAGTATCTTTTTATTAACTTCTCAAACTGTTGCACTAAAATATTATCTAATTACCACACAGGTTAAATCACTTATTCACCTCGAAATTAGATGTAAGCATTTCAGATTTAGGCGATGTATAAAAGGTTAGACCTTATTTCATAAAGCAAGGTTTACATAAGTTGTGTTTCAGCTAAATTTTAAATAGGATGACATAGTTATAAATACCCATAAACCGCATCTTCCACCATGAGCTTTTTCACCAGTCTGTTGTAAGTGACCGTATTCAAGCCTTCTTACCAGTATAGTATGAGCCATGGTCAAACCCACCACTGGGTGGCATGTTTTTTTTTCAGAAGCAATCTCCTTACTATTAGCAGCTGATGTTAATATTCAAGTTCCTCGGCCAGTATGCCAGCTAGTCTACAGTCAACATTCAGGTTGAAACGTATACCTTTGTATATCTCCGGTGACAATAAATGGGGGATTACTTCTGTTACTTACAAAGACAATATATGGCAAAAACAATATGCATAGATAACTGCTAGGTTTAAACCAAGATGGGGGTTCTTTATCCAATATCTTATTTAAAAGCACAATAAAATGTAAAAAAAAAAAAATGTAAGAAAATAACATTTAATTGTCTCTGCCATCTTAGTTGATTTCTGCATATTCTTAACTGATCCCTGGTCTCAAATGTTGGTCCCGTTTTAATAGATTATGGTTAGTAATTCTGAATTTGTGGAAATATTTGTAAAAACTAAGCCGTATTTTCTGATTTACCTTTATCATCGTACTTTGTAATTATTATTGTGCATCACAAATTGTACCCGAATTTTAGGAATCCTCACAACCTTAAAAAAAATACACAATTTGGAGATGTATATTATTTGTGGTCTTTGTAGCCATCAGTGTTCCCAGACAGAAATCTAGACAACAGCTAGAAAACTGACCTAAAAATATGTTTCCACACCTAAAGGCTTTGTTTAATTTCAGACTGATCAGAGTCTGTGGTTTCTTTGTTAAGAAAAGAAAGTAAGAAAAGCAACATAGACCTTATCTTTTCTCATTCCCTACTCTGTGTACCATCCCTTCTGTCTTCCCTCCCACTCTTGCTTTCTCTGTGACATTTGGCGTGTAGCTAATCCAATCTGTGTCATTCAGGGACAGATAACTAAAGCTGCTAGTGGGAAAAGACAAATATCATGGTGGTTCTCAGCTACATATCTCTGAGTACAGATTTACTAACACATCATTACTGCTTTCCTTCAACTGAAGATCATTTGTCTTTCTGCAGATACTTAATATTTATGAATACACTGAATGATGTAGCAAAGGGATACATTTTTATTCATAAAACAGTCAGTAATAAGTTTAATCTTTATTTAAAAGCAAGGCTAGGACTGTCAGGGTTGCACTAAGACCAACATTTGACCCAGATATTTTTGGTCATAATAGTAAATAATTTACAGAATAATGTAAGAACGACTGTATAGCTCTTAAGCATGTTGTTTGTTTAAAGTAAAACATGAGAAGTACATATTTGATAAACTTAACAAAAATATATATAAAAAAACACTTTTGGTTTTGCTTCCTTTTTCGAGATTAACTCAAAGATCTAAAACCTTTTCTACATATATAATATAACTATTTCCCTCAAATATTGTTCACAATCCAGTGTAAATCTGTGAAAATGAGCACTTTGCTGAGATAATCCATCCCACCTCACAGGTGTGCCATAACAAGATGCTGATTAGACACTATGATGACTTATTGCTCAGGTGTTTCTTAGACTGCTCATGATGAAAGGCCACTCTGAAAGGTACAGTGTTGTTTTTTAATTAGGGGGGTCTGGGGACTCAGAAAACCAGTCAGTATCTGGTGAGACCACCATTTGCCTCACGCAATGCAACACATCTCCTTTGCAGGAGATCAGGTTGTCAATTGTGGCCTTTGGAAGTGGTGGTCTACTCCTCAACATTTGAGATCAGGGTTTAGATTAAGAATATGCAGAAACCATCTAAGATGGCAGAGGCCACTAAATGTTATTTTCTTACATTCTCACCTCTTCAATGATTGTGGGAAGTTGCTGGATAATAGCAGGAACTGGTACACGCTGTCCTTGCAACATGAGGCCTTGCATTATCCTGCTGCAACATGAAGTGATGTTCTTCGATGTATGGCACAACAATGGGCCTCAGGATCTCGTCACACTATCTTTTCGTATTCAAAATTCCATCAATAAAAGGCACCTCTGTTTATGCTTCATTCTTCATCCATAACAGAAGCTTGCCCACAATAAAAGGCCACTGAAAGGTGCAGTTTTATTACACAGCACAATGCCACAAATGCTGCAAGATTTGAGGGAGTATGCAATTGGCATACTGACAGCAGGAATTTCAACCAGAACTGTTGCTCTTGTATTGAATGTTCATTTCTTTTCCATAAGCTGTCTCAGAAGGCCTTTTAGAGAAGTTGGCAGTACAACCACCCTCACAAACCGTAGACCAAATGTAACCACACCAGTCCAGGACCTCCACATCCAGCATGTTTACCTCCAAGATCGTCTGAGGCCAGCCACTCGGACAGCTGCTGAAACAATTGGTTTACATAACAAAAGGGTTTCTGCACAAACTGTAGGAAACTGTCTCAGGGAAGCTCATCAGCTTGCTCGTCGCCGTCATTGGGGTCTCCACCTGACTCCAGGTCAACGTCATAACCTACTTGAGTGGCAAATGCTCAAATTTGCAGCCGTCTGGTATGTTGGAGAGGTGTTCTCTTCACAGATAAGGTTTTCACTGTACAGGGCAGAATAAAGACATAGTGTGTGGCATTGTGAGGTTGATCTGTTTTCTGATGTCCGTGTTGTGGTTCGAGTGGCCCATGGTGGCGGTGGAGTTATGGTATGCGCAGGCTTCTGTTATGGATGAAGAACGAAGCTTGAACAGAGGTGCCATTATTGATGGAATGTTGTATACAAAAAGATAGTGTGACGAGATCCCGAGGCCCATTGTTGTGCCATACATCAAAGAACATCACTTCATGTTGCAGCAGGATAATGCAAGGCCCCATGTTGCAAGGACAGCATGTATCATTTCCTGCCATTATCCAGCAACTTCACACAGTCATTGAAGAGGAGTGAACGTAAGAAAATAACATTTAGTTGTCTCTGCCATCTTAGTTGTTTTCTGCATATTCTTAACTGATCCCTGATCTGAAATGTTGAGGAGTGGACCACCACTTCCAAAGGCCACAATTGACAACCTGATCTCCTGCAAAGGAGATGTGTTGCATTGTGTGAGGCAAATGGTGGTCTCACCAGATACTCACTGGTTTTCTGCGTCCCCAGACCCCCCCTAATTAAAAAACAACACTGCACCTATAAGAGTGGCCTTTCATCATGAGCAGGCAAAGACACACCTGTGCACTAATCATGGTGTCTAATTAGCATCTTCATATGGCACACCTGTGAGGTGGGATGGATTATCTCATCAAAGGAGAAGTGCTCACCATCACAGATTTCGACTAGTTTGTGAACAATTATGACTGTGTTTGTGGAAAAAGTTGTAGATATTTGAGTTCATCTCATAAAAAATGGGAGCAAAACCAAAAGTGTTGCGTTTATATTTTTGTTGAGAGTATATACCGCATACTAGGCCTTCGTCTTAATGCAAGCACTCCCCATATGATGCTGTTTCTGATTATTTAAAAGATGTTTTTTCTGCACTGAAGCACTCTGCTTTACTCGGCAAATTGTCTTCAGGTGCAGTTCCTGTGATATTTAAACATGTTTTTTGAAAGAAACCACACCCTGAGTGAAAGACACCACCCTTCTTGCTAATTATAGACCAAATTTAAAGCCACCCTTAACTTCTACGGATATCGAGGAAGTGGTCGATTATCAGCTGAATTTATTTTTATTTTTTTCTGGAAAGTAGACTGAAAAAAAGCTACATATTATTTTAAAAGTTACTCTGTATATTCTTAGCTGCAGCAGTGCTCCATAAAATTTAACATTGGTAAATAATGATCAGTTCTTGGAAGATTTGTTTGTTGTACTCATTGTTATATTCTACATTTACCAGTTACAATCTCTTAAAATTAATGGATGAGAGTGTTCTCTAGCTGGTGAAGGTGGAATCAGGGGTCTTCCTTTATTTTTTTTAAGGTTGGTTGATCTTTGCAATGGTTTGAAAACAAACTGTATCACACTGATGTTGATGGGAGGCTTGCTCTACATACTGTGACAAAATGCCCAATTATGTCAGAAATTATAACTAGCAGAACTGGGAAAAAATACTGATGATATTCACATACTTTAGTTCAGAGTCCATCCAAAAAGTCTGACCTTACAGGGGTCATCTTTTGAGTACATTTATACCTACCTTTATCAGATTCAGGCCTGGTCCCTGCAGTGGAAAAAAAAAAGGGGGAAAAAGACGACTACACTAATACACCCAGGTTCTAATAATGGTAGCTGCAATGGAAGCACAGTTTAACTAGTTCATTTGGAAGCTACACAGTTGTTTTTTTCTTAAACATAAATGGCATCTCTCCCTTCTCTTTTAAACCACCAGGAGAAAAGGTAGTTACAGGTATGTAATGCACACACCTGTGCATAACAGACATGGAATTTACATATGGGTGTCTATGAAAGGGTTACTGGTATTAACCACTGAGCCTTGGTCTAATGAGCTGGATCTTCTGTGTTTGGCCTTCCTCTACTCTTTGTTGTAGGGGGAATGAACTTCTTACTGCACTGGACTTTGTATACTGCAGTGATCATTGAGGTGAAGACAGATTCAACTGCTTCTTCTGCAATGGCCCTTTGTGGCTTATACTTTGCTCTAGACATCAGTCAAGTTAGCAGTCTTTTCAAGAAATTGTGAAATGTAAAGTCACAATGTTGAAATGCTTTTTTCTAAGTCATGTTTATTTTTTAAATTTTCAATGTTTTAGAAAATGTGTTTTTCTATGATTATAAGATATTATCAAACAATAATTTAAATGAAAGCTTCAGATATACGACTGATGTATCTATGTAAAACATGATATTCACTTCTTACATATCAGAAGAAATAAACTCCACAGATGTTCTTAGTTAAAATACAAACATTTGTATTTTGTCTGTCACATCATGAGTATTTCTAGACTTTACAGTTTTAAGCACTAACTGTTGAATATCACAAACTCACCAAAATATAAAATAATACTAGCATTCCTTTACTTGTTAAGGATCTTACTTTACAAACAGCTGGAGAACAAACCTTTTACATTTACAGACAACCGGTAAATTAATAATGATAATGATAATAACAATAATGATAGAGAGAAAAGACAAAATGGAATCTTAATAAAATTGTTACTGTTGAAGTTTTTTGAACCTTGAAAATAATAAATGTTCTCTCTGAACAATCTCTGCAAAGCACCTTTTTTTTAAATACAGAATTGTTTTTATCTGATTAGGCAGAATCTGTCGGGATACCAACTCCCCATCATCGATCATGAACCTTGCTTCACTTTCTCTTCTCCCTCACCATTCCTCAACATGTTCTTTTTGTGCCCTAGCTTTGACCTTCACACACATGCACCGTCACATTACCGATAGTGTCATCACATTTTCACCTTTTCTGTTTACCCTCCAAATATCTTTCACCTGATCTCTATGATTTATCCCTGCTCCCCACAAAGCCTCACTCCCTTGGTTCCTCACCTTTATCCTTACCTTTGTGAGTGGTATAGAAAGACAACAAATGGAGAAACACTGAAATTATCAGTTGGACAGAGTTGACGTACTCTCAGTTAAAGTCTGCAATGGATGGCTGCTTGAAAATTAAAAAAGACAGCATGACATTGATACAGAGAAGATGCCAACCAAGCAAAACAAAAACAGTGAAACCTATTTCTGACAGTCTTGTTCCACTTGAGTTCTGATAGGAATCCATGAAAGGGAGAGCCACCAAAATAAGCTCTAAAGTTAGTGTTTAAGAATATTCCAACACACAAAGGGCCTTTCCATTAAACTGTAACTGTATCTGGCATTGTAAAACCTCTGTCCCTGCATAAAATTATCCCTTCTTTTCATTTCAGTAGCATCCTTCTACATAAAAAAGCCTTTAACATGAGTACATTCTTTTTTCAGTACAGTAAAACAGAAATTCACATTAATCTGTAACTGGGCTACACTTATTGTTTCTTATAATATTCTCTAAAAAAATAATCATAAATAAATTTTTGTATATTTAGTTGTATTTTTATTTATATATTAATTTCTATCATCAAAGTGCTTAAATACAAATAATGTTCCTTAATGTGTAACTTAAACAGAGGCTAATCTCTGTTGGCTACTTTTTAAAATGGAAAAGACAAGAAAACATACTATTTGAAAGAAACATGTGTGCTTATTTAATTTAACTCCATGTATGTCTCTCCATCTATCAATATAATTTTCTGGATTAAACCTTTAGACTTTGTCTTCTGTCAATATCTCTCCTCTCTCTTGTCTGACAGAAATTCACTGCTTTGGAATTTTCATTTATCTGTGCATTTCTTAAAGTTTAGCTGGATAATGTTTATTTTATCTTTTTGCTTTATTAGTGCCATCACGAGTTCGGAATCCGGTGTGGTTGCGTGTGAGTCATTCTCACCATCTCCGATGATAGCCAAGATGGCCAGATCCACCTGCCGCTTCCAGAAGGAACCTTTCTGCAGAGCAATGCCATAACCAGTTGTAGCAAATATGTACCTGAATACACGATCACATGAAAAGAAACCCGCAAATCAAAAATTGGGATTATTCCAAAGAGTATAACCATTTTTAAGAAATATTTGCTATTGGCCATATCAAGACTTAAACTTAATTTAAGTCTTAAAGAATTAAATGAAATTAAAGGTCACAGATATAGAAATCAAAAATGAAAAACCTAATCTGATTTTAATGGAAGATATTTCTGTTTTACACAATATAAATTTTTAACCTTTACCAAAGCCAAAAGATTTTTGCACTGCAAATCCACTCCCCTCTAATCAGTAAATTGGTTAACAACGGTGCCTAGGTACCTTCTTAAGGTAGTTACTTGCACTGAACTCCTCCTTTGTTTGTTAAAATAAACTTTTATGTTTATACTTCAGTTTTGGTATCAGACCCTCACAAATTGTCTCTTTACTAAGTATAATAACGTGTCAGAATGTAAATTGGGGTGGCCAACTGTAGTTCTCGAGACTTAGATTCAAACAAAAATTTCTCTGAAAACACTAAGTCAGCTTAGTAAATGTGTGCCTACACAAGAAGAATGTATCTACTACACCTTAATAAATAATACCAGACCTGTTTGTGGTGCTTTGACACAATGATGGAAAACAATCCAAAAGGGAATTGGGCATATGCACAACACTGTACAGCACCATTGTTGTTGCCATACTCTGAGTGTAGCATGAGTGTGATTCTCTAGAAGCCCACTGATGTTGCAAGCATCTCATAAAATTTCAGAGAGGCAGTAACCACAGAATCCCATAAATTGAGTTATTACACGTTACTTTACCTAGTTTCAAAAATGTTTGCTTAAAAACCTTTGCATACATAAAGCACTGGTTTGATTACATATTTTGTATTTAGGCCTGGGCTTGTCTTCATGTGGATTGGGCCTTAGAGGCATTCCCACTCTAACTCACCTGCTTCAGATGAATAGCTTGTTACCAGCCTGCAGAGCTGAATGCCATGCAGATAAAGGTTAAGTTGTATTGGAATAGGGATGCATCTAAAAGTTGAAGAATAGTATCGCTGCCCACCCTTGATGAAGATGGTGTTGTCAACTTGATGTCCAGTGTTAGCTTTTCTCATAAACTGGACTGAACATCGCTTAATACAAGGCTTCTCTTGGTTTTTTAGGCCAATGTTTTTTGTTGCTTTTTTTTGTGTTGTTGTTTTTTTCAAATATCATCTTCACTAACTGTTTTGAAAATAGAAATGCTCTGTGGTTTTGATCTCTGTGGTAGAAGGGAATCCCTTTCTTTTCTCACAGATTTTAGGCATGTTCCCAAAATGTCAGCTTCTTTCTGTCACAGCATGATTCACTGTCCCAAAATAAACTATCCTTGATCCACTGTGCCTGAGATGGGCAATGCTATAGAGTACTTTCTTTACCAATAGTCTGGATGAATAGCTATCTGTTACTTAGATTTGCAGCTGTATTTACCCGCTGCCGATGGTGACCAGCTTACACCCTTCATCCCTTCCAGCCATGTAGTTCAACACTGCAGCATCATAGATGAAGGCATCCAGCTTGCTGTGAGGGACAAAAGAACAGAGAAAAATGACAGAAAAGAGACATTAAAAAGGTAGGTCTTTCACATTTTTTTAAAAGACAGAGTGAAAAGTAAACATAAGGAGTCAGAAGGCAAAGCATCTTTTTTTACAGAGTGTTGGTTGCAGATCAATTGTGAAGTGTTAAATCATCTCCAATAGGCCTGCAATCCAAGCGTAACCAAACACAAAGGACATAGAGTGGGTTGACAGTTCAATACAAAACGCTTCACTGATGATAGGGCCTTGGAGGTACATAGGCATTCCTAACCAACTTCACGCCCAGATAAATGTTTACCCTATCCTGCTGTTTTTCTAATTTCAAACACTCAAAGACTTAAAAATAAGTGGAAGATGGAAAGAAATAAAAAGTTCTAAGGCCCTGAATGACATTTCTAATGTAACTGATACTGTCACTGGAAACTGCTTTCTTCCTATCTCAATGCATGCACAAACACCAAGCTCAAACATTCTGATCCCTGCTAATGGACCTGTGACTGGCTGGCATTTCCTGAATGTCAGGATCACCACTTTAACAGAAACTAATAGCAGATAGTCCTAGTGTGCAACTAGCTTTACCTACCACTGTCAACAAGCAACATGTGTATCCCAACATGTAGAACAAAAAATCTGCATTGGTATTGTAGGTCTGTATAATTAGCTAAATACTGTAGAATTAAAACCAGTGCCTTTTTAAATGGTGATAAATATATATATTTTATTAGTTCCTTGAAGGTTTCATTCTGTTTTTAGGTTTGAGTTATTTTAATGCCTTAGCTCATCAAACTAATATAAATATAGCAGGCAGATATTAAACACAGAATGTAGCTTTTTAATTGTTTCATTTAATAATGGACAAAGGTACCAAAAAAAAAAAAAAACATCAACAGAAAACATAACCTGACACATTTAAGCAGGCTATAAAATCTAAAAAAGTGACATACAGTAGTAGCCCTTCAAAATTTCCATACTTCCCTTGATGGTCCTTTTTAAACATCTAAAATATTCTTTTTGTCATGATTTGTGGACATTAAGATCTAAAGAGAAGCGTTATCTCCTGCTCAGAAGATGTAATTCAGTGAAAGGATGGGCCATTTTAAATGGCTGCTACTGTATAGTTTTTTCATATGAAGAAATTAATATAAACAAAGTTTATCATCTATGAGTCTAGAAAATGTGATAAAGATATTTCTAACCCCCAAAGCACATGGCTTGTGACACTGCAGAGAAAATTTTTTGTCCTAAACACTTTATGTGTACTAATTGCTCTGCTTATAATCAGGCTCATGTTTTTCAGATTATATGGCATAAATCCAATATGTTTGGGAATAAGCTGGGAATGTGCTTTGGGAATCTGGCCAAAGTCAACATCTGCATTGAAGTAAACACTGAAAAAGGGTGGCTCCTCAGCCTTATGGCCAGCCTACTAAAATTATTTCAAGAGTGCTTTAAAAATGAATCGAGGAGTTAACTAAAATATCCAGAGCATCTAAATCACAGCAATTCCCCGTGAGAAAGTCTGACCTTCACTTGTCTCAGTGAAGGTCAGAGTTCATAATAAAACAATAAGAAGGAGACTGGTAAAAAAGTTTAAAAGTGAAAACCATTGTTAAGCTTAGGAACCCAAAGGCCCATGTTATCTTTGCAAGAAAACATGCTGTTCTTCCCCAACATGCTTAGAAAAAATATCTCTTTGCTGACTGGAAAAGGGAACATTTTGGAAGTTGTCTCATTTCATCTGGTGTAAAAATAACACACAACTTCATAAAAGGAACAACATAACAGTCAAACAAGTTGGTTGCAGTGGGATGCTCTGGGGTTGCTTTTCTTTTTCAGGACCTCGACAACTTGCTATAAGTGATGGAACCATGAATTCGGCTCCCTACAAGAAAAACATGAAAGAAAATATACAGCCATTAGTTCACACTTGCAGCAAAAGACAAGGAATTCCATCTTTTCATTGACAAAGTAAAACAAATGATCAAAATATACATTTTTAAATGACAACCTGTAAGCCACCAAAATCTTTCAAAATCAATATGATAGCCATCTAGTACGTTAAGTTGGTAAAGGGTTATCAATCTTTAAATGCATAATTTCATTTTGGAGAATTAAACCATTTTAACAATATAGAAGTGTGTTCTTGTTGTAGACCAGCGCTACTAGCCATTATTTAGAAAACGACTTTCTTGTTGAGCAAAATGAAGGTGCCGAACCTTTGACGTGAACCCAAGTTTCGAATTCTTCAAGATCCTTTTGCTAGCCAGCAAAAGGATTTTGCACGGCAGACTGCTATGTCAAGCATATCTTCTGCCTATTCATGATCTAGTCAAGGGCTCTGCTGTCCCGCATTGGGGGGTGAATCGCCAAGACAATTGAAAGAAGGTGAAACGGCATTCTGGAGCTTAGACAAGAGCAGTGGGACACCAGTGCAAGAACATCAGTGCGAGAGGACCTGCGTCCCCCTCTGGAACTAAGGAACCATGAGCTCACTGTGAAAACGGAGCACCAGAGCAGAGAAAGAAGCCAGCAGCTTGCCATTGCCAGTTCAGGAAGAGATTGAAGAAGCACAGTGGTAGATCAGAGAAGCCCACCAGGGAAACAGCATCAGCGGGGAGAAATACAGGCTAACTGCTGAGGATTGGTTATGTCTGCAGCAAAGACAAAATGCTGAAGACGGAGTAGAGGCTATGGCTGCCACAGTAGGTATGTTGTACATCGGAGAAGGATCAGCAAAGCTTGCCCGGGCAGACAGTCGAAGAGTTGGGGAGAGAAGGCCTTGGCTGACCGATGTTTGCGCTGGAGGTAGGACCGAGAAACAGTCCTTCTAGGGCTACATTAAATAAGCTTTTTTTAAAGTGGCTATAAATCTTCTTAGAAGCATTACCGCTTCATCCTTCTTTTATTAATCTCTCCTCTTCCATTTTTTATAATAAAAAAGCTTTGTCTCCATTGCCGGCCTCATTGTAGCTCACAGCCACATTTAGTCCCTGATTGAATTTCATGACACAAACGTATCATAAACTTCAGTTTAATCAACTAATTCACGAAGAAAATTTTGAATTTTCAATTAAAGTCGTTGGGAAGTCATATTTCAAAGTCAAATAATTCTGGCTTAAACATGTATATAAATGAAAAAATAATAAAATAAAAAATCTTGTCTTAAAATCTGTGTGTTTGTTTCGTTATCTTATGCAGGCCAGTTAGTTATATGTCAGCCTGTACACCTAAATTTGGCCAATCATATATCAATGGTCATCTCTCACTCAAATTTTTTCGGTCATAGCATCTTGTTTCATATGTCGCAGCTAATATACGCAATGGTTGAAATAAGAAATAAGAATAATTTACTTTACCATTGAGTTACGTCCCATTGTTCATGGGGATGGACGTCTTTGGCAGGCGTAGAGCTAACAGAATTGGCAGTGTTGCCAGGCAAGGGCTACAATATGTACAGCTGTAAGCCTTTTACACCAAAGCTTCCCTGGCATCCTCTTCCACAACAACTTCGTCCCCGCTTTCCTCCTCTACATAAAAAATGTATGACGGAGGACTCATCCATGACCTGCGACACAAAACTGTCCTTCTCTTGCATCTTTCCGATGTCCATAGCATTTCTTGGCAGTGCCGTTGCTAAGTGCTACTTGGTCCCAATGTATTTTCCCATTGGCAAAATACTAGCGCTAAGTTGCTAACTGGTTAGAAAGATGCTTCCGACAAACCGGCCACAACCAAACTTGCTTGCAAACCTTCCACCACAACAATCCCTCCCCCTTGATAAACAACCAGTCATATTCACTTTAGTCACTCGTGTAAAGTCAGGCACCACTTGGGAGAATTTGCAAATGCAATGGTCGGAACACTACAACGGTTGAACTCCTTATGACTTTAAGCAAAGGGAAATTCACAGATGACACAATCAGATTTCACCAAATTCAGCAAAATCCAATTCATCACCTTTGCCATGCTAAATTTCATCGCCAGATTGAAGGGGCTTTACAACCACATTGGCTGTACAGATAATTTTAGCAAAACTATGCACACTGTCATGTCCCTACATAGCAACCAAACTATGAAAATTAATGAGGACTGGTAGTGACTGTCATGATCTTGGTGCTGATGGTTTGGTTTTTTCCTTTGCTCCTTGCTCAGCTGTCTAATTGGTTCTGCGGCTGATTAACGCTGATCATTTCCACCTGGTTCCTCTGCTATTTATGTTGTGTGTTTGCCTCCCATCAGCGCCAGGTTATTCGAGCGTTTTGGTGAGACTAACTCTAGCTTTCTGAAGTCTGTTCTCATTATTCTGATGTGACCTGTTTCTGTCTTGTGGATCCCAAGTTTGGCCTTGCCCCTGTCTGCTAATTTTGTCTCATGTGTTTCCTGGATTCTACCGGCTTCTGAACCTGGACCTGTTTTCTGACTTCGGCCTTGGATTTCCCCTTTGGACTCTGTTGCTGCTCGGCGTCGGCTGGCGCCCGCTCCGCTCCCTCTCAAGGAACTCTGGGGGCGTCGCCCGCAGCAACTGCGGTCAAACCTCCCGTCTGATTTCAGCTGTGTTCTCCGCAAATGGACTGAACTTTGAATCAGGTTAGTGACTTAGCTTCAAGTCGTATTCAGCTCCACATCCAGTCACTGACCTGTATTCTCCTATCTCTGCAGAGATCCGAGCAGCCCAGCACACCTGTTAGTTTTAATAAACACTTTGAACTTTCCCACTGCCTGTCTTGCCTTGAATTCTGGGTCCAACTTCCTGAGATCATTACAGTGACTTATCGGAATATGTGCCGTTTTACACTTAAATAGAGAAAATTTTAGTAGCTCTAAAAAAGATAACAGTATTAGACTTTGACTAAGTATAGAAAAAACTGTTAGACATGGTTTAATCCATAATGTAGGTCAAATAAAAAAATACTTACTTGAACTTGTCCTCTGAGTTTAATCATATGTTCAGCAGTATCAGGTCCCAGGTGTTACAATTGTGTATCATTTTATTTCTCAGTGGTATTATCAAACTAAAGATTTCTTATAATTACCTAATAAACTTCCTCCAACAAGGAGCTAGATTATAGATCCACATAACAATATATTTGATACATTATTAGTTTTCTGTATTTATTCTATGAGTAAGCTCTAAAAATACTTGCCAATCTTCTTCATATATAGCTCTTTTACTATTAAATCTAAGCTGCTATTTTTTTTTTCTTCACCTGATATTGTCAGAGCTCTGTAATGCAGTATAATTGTCTTACTGATGCTATTAAGAAAAAGTAAGTAGAAACAAAACTACTGTTGCTAATGCAAAAGGTAGATAAGACCCTTTCTACTTATAATTAACCCTCATTGCCACAAAAATGTACTTTATGCTTTGTTTTTTTACTTTAACTTCAAAATATTTTCGAGTTACTGTTAGTGAAATCAAAGCTGGTAATTGCTGACTATGTCACAAATCAAGGTGTATATGTACACGATTTTATTGTAATAAAAAATAAAGATGCCTATTTAAATTCTCTGGGTCATGGCAACCACAAAATAGGCTTAAATTGGAAGGCAGCTTGATTTTGCCTCAGTTTTTTTTTTTCTGAAGACATTTCAACTCCTCTCCAGGAATATTTGTCAATTCTGTTGGCTCGCACCAGACCAATCTGTGGTTGGAGCTCTGATGTATTTAAACAGATTGGAGGTCCATTCTCCTAAACACATTCCGAATCAGATGCAAATCAAATAGCCAGCCCTTGTTCTTCTTGATTGTTGGAGCCTTTTCCTAGATCTGAATGAATGAAATACTCTCATTGAATACTTTGTTCTGTACAAACTTGAATGTACTGAATACACAATCAAACAAAAATCATCAATGGGAATCAAATGTTTTAACCAAAGGAGGCCTGGATTCGGAGTCATACACAACAGTGGGAAAAACACACTAGGGGCTGATCCACCTTTAATGTAACATCGTTAAATCAGGTCAATATGAGGCTTAATATAGTGTGCAGAATCCTACAACTCCTGGGCATGCCCCTGTTGAGGTGGCGATTCCCCCAACTCCTGGACAGTCTGTGTGGCAATGTGATGGTAGATGGATCGAGACATGATGTCCCAGATGTGCTTAATCGGATTAAGTCTGGGGAACGGCTGTCCAGTCAATAGGTTCAATGCCCTCATTTTGCATGAACTGATGACAAACTCCAGCCACATGAGGTCCAGCATTGTCCTGCATTAGGAGCAACCCAGGGCCAGCCACACCATCATATGGTCTCACAAGTCTGAGGTCTGAGGATCTCATCTCAGTACCTAATGGCAGTTAGGCTACCTCTGGTGACCTCATGGAGGGCTGTGCCGCCCTCTAAAGAAATGCCACCCTACACCAATACTGACTGAACTGGTCATGCTGAAGGATGTTGCAGGCAGCAGATCGCTGTACACAGAGTTTGCAGACTCTGTCACATCTGTCACATGTTCTCAGTGTGGACCTGCTTTCATCTTTGAAGAGCATATGGCACCAGTTTTTAAGGTGCCAATCCAGGTGTTCTCTCGCAAATGCCAAGCATCCTGCACAGTGGTGAGCTGTGAGAAAAAACCCCATCAGTGGACATCGAGCCTTTATACCATCCTCATGGAGTCAGGTCTCTGGCAGTGCTCCTCCTGTTTAGAAGTAAGGTTCCTGCTGCTGGGTTGTTGCCCCTATAGCCTACTGGCCTGTCTGCTGGTAGCGCATCCAGCCTATGGACAATACACTGGAACCGTTAGCAAACCTTTTTTTTTTCACAGCTCGCATTAATGTGTCATCCCTGATGAGCTGTAGCTTCCATATCCAATCCAATCCAATTCATTTATTTAGCGGAATTTAACAGCAAAACGTTTCAAAGTGCTGCACACGCAAAAATAACAGGTACCTCCACCCCTAGGTAAGTATAAAACAATGAATATAAATATTATAAATGCAAGTGTGTCTTACTAATTGGCAATAATTTCCACCAGTTGTCAATTTCATTTGCAGCAGCAACAGCATGTGAAATTAATTGTCAATCAGTGTTGCCATGTAGAAGACAGTTTGATTCAATAGAAATTTGATTTAATTCAAGTTATATTGTGTTTTTTACTTATTTCCTTTATTATTTTGAACAGTGTACATTAGGGCTCCAACCACAAATTGCTCTTGTGGCCAACGGAATTGACAAAGACTCCTGGATGGGTGTCAAAACTGGGTGTCTTCAGAAAAAACTGAGCAAAAGTCTAGTTGCCTCCAATGTAAGCTGATTTTGTGGTTAAAAAGTGAAGTGATAAAGCCTCTGTCACACCTTGATGATTTAGCCAGCATATGCCTGATGTACGAAAAATCTTGCAAATTCGCTGGCAATATGTCGGATAAAGTATGGGTCAGTTCTGTAAAAGTTATGAGCACTCTGAAGCACGCTGGCACACGTCGACATACGGCAAGTATGTCTTGATGTATGCCAGCGTATGCTCATAGAGGTACGTCAGTCATAAGCTACAGGTTAGTTATTTTATTGTTGACATAAGTTAAGTGTAAGTTACTTATAAGACGTTGCATCTAGCTTATCCAAAACCTACGGGTAACTTGTGCATAACGTATGCGTACCTCATCAAGAACTTATCTCCAACACATATCCATGTATTTGACGTGTTCCAGATGACTGCTGGACGCGTTTCTAATTTACAGCTACCATATAATGGCATATTGGCAGCATTTTGGAATAAAAAGGGGTTCACAGGAGGACAATGTCAGTACTCCTCCAGACTTCATCCCTATCAAAGGAGAGTGTGCATAAGTTAGAATGTTGTCTGAACTAAGTTCTGGACTCGTTAAGGATACTCTGTGTATATGCCCAAAATTGAAAAAATATACGGAAAGCTCAGCGGATGCCAGCTTTTTAGAAGATTCTGGGACGTCAGATGTATGCTGGCTAAATTGTCAAGGTGTTACAGGCGCTTTAGGTATTATTTACATTTAGATTATAATGTGTCAACAAATTAATTGTAACAGGATTTATATTTGTGTCTGTAACAGATTTCATATTAAACTTGTCAGCATAATGTATTATGTGACCTAATTTAGCTATCAAGCCGGTTGCACTCAGAATTTCCAACCTTATCACTCATATCACTTAATACATCTTGTATTACTATATTATACATACTGTATATATGTGCGTGTGTGTGTGAAAAATCTGTTAAAATAAAGTGTGAGATAAAAAAAAAAACTGAACACAAGAGAGCCAGGAATTCAACCAAACGTTTATGTAGTGGTGAAATTATACAGTACCCTGGCTGTAATTAGCTGCTATTAACTCAAATGCAGTTCACTAGCAAAATGCTTACCTGTCTTGTTTCATAGATGATCATTGTGGTTAAAATAGTCACTTCATCTTTTCTTCTGCTTTTCCAATAACTGACCACAGTTTAATGTTATCTATTTCCACAAAAAAAACTTGAAAAGAAACAGTAGGAGTCTTACAAACTGTAGTGCATATTATGCTGGGAATACAGATGACAGGTCATCCATCATGAAATATAGAGGCCTGGCTACAAAGGGGTTTTTGTAGCCAAAACCTTTAAAAACACAGAAGGCCAGTTATGATTTATTATTGTTTCAAACATTTATAGGTATTGTTGCCTTCAGTCAATTTCTTTTTTAAGCGTTCTTTATTCAGCAGACTCAAGCTCATATTAAAATAGTTATACACATAGTTAGAAAAAATCTAAAATATTCTCTTTTTCATTTGAATAAGCCTTGGACCTTATTTTTTCCATGCTGCTAGCCTTTACCATTAAGTCCTTGTTCCTTTCAGTCTTTTATTAACTTTGTTTTCTTACTTCTCTTGACACCTTCTCACAATTTATTGCCTTTGTTTAAGTAGTTGCTTTTTTTCATTCTCTTATCTCTTGCCCATTTATTGTACTCACTATCTTTTTATTTCTTCCAAAGGAGCTTTTTTTCATTGGATCCTTTACACCAGGGGTGCTCAAGTCCAGTCCTCAAGAGCTACTATCCTGCAACTTTTTGATGCAACCATTTTTAACACACCTGAATCAGATGAGTGGCTCGTTACCATGCCTCTGCTGAGCTAAATGAGGGGATTGAGCCTTTTGATTCAGGTGTGTTAGAGAAGAGATGCATCGAAAAGTTACAGGATGGTAGCTCTTGAGGACTGGACTTGAGCACCCCTGCTTTACACCATCCATTTCACTTTTTTTAAATCCAATTTTGACTACAATTTCCTATTTACCCAAACCATCTCATAATTATCCAACCTGTCAGTTTTTCCTTGATTAACCATGAGCTAAATGTCCACCACATTTCTGCCCTTCACATGAAAACAGATACACAGACATCTACCAAACATCAGTCACCACAAAGGGTGGTGGGGACTAAAAATAGTTTGCTATTCTCTCTGAGGAAGCCTATTCATCCAGTCTCAGAGGACCCGCCAAACACTTTCACAAGCCAACATGTGAAAAAGTACACATATTAGTAAAAGTAATACCAAAATTGCATCGGACGACAAGCAATATTTGCATAAATAAATGCATGATTTGAAAGAGGCTCTTTAAAGATTTAGAGAAAAAAAACATGCAGTATGAGTTATTACCCTGATTTAAGGCTGACAAGTGCATCCACAACACCAGTTTGATGGTACTTCACCATGTACTGGTGCATGGCAGGGTAGTTCTTTCTGATGTTCCTCTCAGTGGATCCATTTGGGACAGTCCCAAAGCGGAACGGAGGGGAGTATGCATATGGATTCTGAAACTGTAATGGGAAAGATAAAGAAGAAAGGGGCAGATAATAAAGAACTGGTGAGTTTACAAAATTAAAATCTTTAGTGCAATAGTGGAAGAAGTTAAATAACTACTTTGTAAAGGAAACAGATCAAATTCATGGTCAGGGATTAACAAAGCTTTCCCAAACCCATATATTCACAGATATCTAAGTATCTCCACAGAGCTCTCTTTCTCTTTGCTCTCTCGCCAATTATGTTTTTCCTGATTTAGTCAGGAGATGTATGTTGTAGTTTCGTGCATAAGAAAAATAAAATTAATCATTCACTTGGTCCTTTAGACCAGTGTTTCCCAACAGGGGATACTCCTTCCCCTAGTGTCCCCTAGTGCATTACAAGGGGTACAGAATAAATATTAATTTTTTTTACGTTACAAAATAAAATAGGGCTGGGATTGGTTTTGCTTTCTGAGGACCAAATAAAAAAAAAATTTAAGAAGTTTTTATTAATCAAAAAGTAGGATTTTCTCATATGTCTGAGTCCATCTTGAGCTGTGACCAACATCCAAACAAAGCAGAGGAACAGACTGGAAGTAAAGAACAACATGGTATCTGCTTTTTTCCACAGTAAGCTATCAGAGCTCATCAAAGCATCTCACATGTCTTGATGAAAACAAAGTCAGTCTGACTAAGATTTTTGTTCTGTATTCTGTTTCCAATTCATCAAGTTTAAATGCTATAAGAGAGTTACTAAGAGGAGCTCCAGATTGATAAATGCAGGTTTATAATAGGAGTTTATTTTGTATTCATTTTAATTACTGAATTCCAGGCAACATATTAATGAATTGGAAAACATAAAATTATGAAAACTAAATGATCAAATTAAAAGAAGTAAAGTAAAATAGTCTTTATTTCAGTTATTGTTCATTCCACTTTTATCAATACCTTTGATCGAGAGGGTACTCCTGATAAGAGAAGATGCCCCAAGGTGTATACAAGTCAAAAAGGGTTAGGAAACACTGCTTTGCACAAATTAGGTTGTAAAAGCCAACATTGCATGTCCGTTTGACGAGGATCTTATTGAAAAATCTTATATAAGAATAATCGTCCTTATTTCACATGGAATTAAATATTTATATAGCAGTAAGAGGGTTCTACAACTGAGTTGATACTATATATTATCTGTTTTTGGTTTGTTTATTATAAGCCATACGCGGATCACTTTTTTATCTAATTATTCTTACATTATATGAACTACTGAAATTATTTTGAGATTACAAGTAAAATAATAATTAATATTAATTCAGATATCATAAATACATATTCAGTCAAACTGATAAATATCAAAATGGGCACTTAAAATGTGTAAACATTTCTAGGTGTATATAAAACGTAATTCTTACTAGTACAATTAGTTTTGTTTTTACTTTACGAAAAGTATTTTTGTGCAGGCAAAAATGTATTGTGATTTTGATTTTTGAAATTGTAACTAATCTACAAACGTAACAAAACAGAGCAGAGTGCTTTTATTAAAGGTATTGTTAGTAAATTAATTATTAAATTAAAAATGTATAAATCTTTTCCTTCACCATCTTACTCTCCTTTGCAGATGTAGTCTTGTTGCTCTGTCTTTTAAACACATTATGCTTTTTCTTTCACTTCAATAAAATCTCTAGCTCCAGTGGAGTGAAATAGGCACTTCCTGTTCCCTTTCATCATGGTGACTTGTTGAATTGGGGCTCCACAAAAAAATGCCTTTTCATATGTACACACATGTCAAACTCTGAGTGGGCCTTGGAGTTGGAGTTGATTGAACTAATTCATAGTAGCCATTGTGAAACTGAAAACTCAGAATTTCCAACCTTAGGCTAAATCAATTTAGGGTTGAGGATTTGAATCTGAATTGTTATACCTGCTTATTGAAAGGGACCCAAGGTCTACTGCACTAAGCGTTTAACATTTATGTTCATGTGTTACCTCATATGCCGATCATATTTAATGACCAGGATATGACCAAAGAGTCCTTTAAGATGAGTTCCATCATTTCTGATAGCTACTAGATCAATCATAGAAAGTTAAAAATCAGTTAACCAAATATTATTGTTTTCTGATTTATCCATCTATCTTCTCCCACTTATTCAGTCAGGATCACGGTGGGACAAAGCCTATTTCTCTGGGCGAGACACGGGGTGCACCCTGGAAAAGTCGCCATTGTTTCTCATAGAGACACACAAAGAGGTTCAACCATGAAGACTCACTCACACCAAGGGGCAATTTAGAGACCCCAATTGACCTAACAGTCATGTTCATGGACTGTGTGAGGAAGCGCAAATTGCCCGAAGAGAACCCAAGCATGCATACGGACAACATGCAAACTCCATGCAGAAAGACCCCGGGCCAGAAATCAAATCACAAACCTTCTTGCTGCAAGGCAACAGGGCTACAAATTGTGCAACAGTGCAGCCTGAGCAAATCATTTCATAGAATATTATCTAACCAAATCATGTTTTATATACCTCTTGCTGCTGAACACATTACAGGTGATCTAAATGAGTTCAAAACTAAGATAAACTTTGGTTCTCAAACATAAATCCATGCTGAACTGTGATATCACTGCATGATTTTATTCATTATGGTTTTCAGCCACGTGTTGTTCTTCCTATTTCTGTACATAATAGCTTACTTCAGTTGGGTTTCATAGGTATAGCATAGAGTTTATAGAGTTTATAACTGAAATGTGTTGGACTTTGGGCTGAATTATTTTTGTTAATAAACGTTTTGTTTTTTTACTTGAAGTTGAGGTAAATGTATTTCATATATGGGCAGAATTGTTAGTTTGACTATGATTTGAGCTTGATTCACACTTTCATTTGCTGTCCTAACACACACACACACACACTCACACACACACACATAGTTGGGGGTTTGTTTACAGAATAACATATGAGAGTCTGAATATTATTCGATTAAATAACATATTTGCAACCCCTACTGAGGTGGGCATTGAATATATGAATGCATAACACACTTCAGTGCATCATGCTTAAGGTAATAGTACAGTATGTCAGACTTGCTATACATGTCAACAGTAAGCACATAAGCATTCTACACAGCCATTCTTATTGCATGGACACAGTTGACTAGAAGACTTATTGATGTGGTGCATGCAAATACAGTTTGAAATATAAAATACAGCTTGAAATATAAAATATAATTGTAAACATAACATTTATGAAAAGAAGATGGGTACATGTGTCTGTCATTTATTTAATTCTATAAACACTAGATTTACTTCTTTAGCAACCGACACACTTATTTTTGTTATTGAAAAGCTGTAAATGTGGCTGCTGTCTTGGAGATGGTTGTTATTGACATAACAGGTCTTTTGCTAAAAACATCTGAAGACCATCAATATATTCTAACTACCAATGATTACTTATACAAGTAGGTAGAAATATTTCCACTTAAACCAACTCAGCAGCAGAGGCTGTAAGCCCTCTGTGCTCATTAATTGTACTGTATGCTGTATATTTTTAACTCTGTTTCTTTGAAACACCAGAATTTGCACATTATCTTTATTTATCTTTATATTTATAAATGTTATTATTGAAATATTAAATCAGATGGTATGATGATAAGCACCAAGCAGATCAGTTACTCATTTCTTGAATAGCCTTTTTATCAAATACAGTAGTCTTTACTTTTACTTGGGTTAAAAATATGATGAAGCAGTGCAACTCTTACTTGAGTACAATTTTGGAGTACCTAACTATCTCTGCTCAACAGACAATTTCTAGCACACTGGAAAAATTCAGATTGTATTTCATTAAATATTTTACCAGTGAAGCAGTTTGAGAAACTATATATTTTATATTGCTACCATTCCAAGCAGTAACATACTGTAAATTGTCACTAATGGATCAATTTTCTGAATTTTAGATCATTAATTATAAGTTCTTCAATAAGCATTTTCTCTAATAGTATTATAAGTGAGTTTTTGCAATAGCTGAGCATTCTGGAGGTTGTGGCAAACGATTTGAACCTGCTCAGAACTTTGGTCCCAATCACTCAAATAGAAGAAAAATATGCTGTTATGGTTATTATTCCTTTCTAAATATTTCAACCTATTCCTAATTCATATGGAGGGATTCATATCTATTCATTTGGGAATTGCACTGTGGAGATCTTTGGAAGTGCTTTGATGCCTTTTAGAGGTTGAGAATGTGAAATAAACATTACCCATGTTAAAAGGAAGGATAGAATGGAAAGACGCCATTGCATGGCTAAGAAATGTTAGAAAAATGTCTGAATCTGAGTTATCTAATGCATTAAAAATACAGGCTTAGACAGCATGTGACCCAAGTTCTAAATGTTATATTTCAGATTTTGGGAATAAAACTTTTTAGCACTAAGCAATTTAGATTTAAATAAATTTGGTATCATCTAACAATATACATAATGTGGTTATAATTGTAATCATAAAAAATGTAATCCAAAGAATAAATTAAATTATGAAAGATTTTGAACAAAAAATAAATAAATAAATATTTGGGCGTATTCAGGGATGAGGTCCATTTTTTCTGATATCATGATGGAAACTCCCCCGCATTGCCAAATAATGTGACAAATTTTAATTAAGTCAGATGAGTTTTAGAGGAATGGAGCATATTCTAATGGGATTCTTAACCAATATTTAGCGTTGGTGTATTAATCTAAATAGTTTACTACGGCTGAAATCCAGAAAATGCAATTCAAGCATAATCTTGCAATTTATCTTTACCTATCGTATCTCTGTCACAACTAAAATTTACAACCTCACAAATTTAACAAAAACATCTGCAATATTCCTATGAATCCTGTGTGGGATAGTAGCATGATTATGTTACGACAAAGACAAGGCAGACAGAATAACAGATTTTTTTTTCTACAATCTTTTCTGTATCAATCAAAACAAAGGCAAATTCTCTACCATGTAAACTGGCCCTATGGTGTGTTCTGTCAAACTAAACTGTAGCCTAACATTCCATTTACTT